GATATGAAGAGTTATAACAGTTTTTCCCATGAACATTTAGATTTTTTAACATTTTGTTATCTTGTAAATATTAGGTATCGTTTAAGTATTTGTAATAAAGATACCTTATCATGATGGATGTTTTAATATTTTGAGACCAATAACATTAAATTATAGATTGTTTTGTCAAGGTATTTGGAAACAAAATTCAATCAAAATCCTTGAATTGTATCTACATATATAAATAAAAATCAATTGCCATATTCTTTATGAATGATAAGAGAATGATAACCCCGTGTGCACTATCGATATAAGCTGCCGGGGCAACAATGAGTGAGTGTGTAGGTGAGAGTAAAGCAGGTCACATGGCCCATTGCGACGATTTTAACTTTTCCGAGGGAAACTGCGTGGAGGTCATTCACGGAGAAGTGAAAAATTTGGGTCAAATTTCTATACAAAAAAAATGAGTTAAGATAGACAGTAGGGAGATTTTCAGACTTAGTACATCCGAACGAAGCCGGAACTTTTTAACACAATTTTTTCTGAAGATCAAATATATAGAGTAGTAAGAGTATACGAGAGGATACTATCATGAATTCGCTAACTAGCGCTCATTTTGGCGGCGTCATCTCCAGAAGTCACCTGAGTAATAAATACATATTCCGTAAATAAAAATCCGTGATAGTAAGGTCCGGTGAGAGAGGTGGATGAAGAAGTTTCCAGTTTCGGCTTCTCCTATCCGTAGTGTAATATATGTATGTATGTGGTGTGGTTCTAGAGTTATTATTATAACAAGTCATAAATCTCAATTGTTTGATAGCGAGCTTGTCTATCATCGTTTGCATTTCTTGACAAGTACACATTTCTGCAGTAATTGTACCAGATCGCACGCACTGGAGGGCGATCTCCCACAAAGTGGAGCAACGCCTTCATAAATGTTGCAGGCAATCGAAAGTTGTAGATGGCTCGGGATTGTTTTTTGTGACGATATTTGACGGAGACCTATATAGGGCGGCAGACAATTTATACGTGGACTGCAAGCCATTGAAATTCCAAATACTTAGGTATTTGCAAGAAACTTAGCAGTTGCTTTTCAAGTACTTTCACAAAGTAATTATATTTTGACTATAATCAATTATACGTAAATTTTTATTATCAGTCATATGTGGTAAATTTGAGCAGTTAAGTTACAAAGGATGACCACAGAATAAATAACTACTTTTCATAAAAAAAGAAATTGTATTGTGGTATGATGAAGTGTGAATATTATAGAGGACATGACCCGCTTCAAGTTTTGGACTTAGTACATTAAGAATATTATTTTATACTGAAAGAAATACCAATTCATTACAAGGTGGAAAGCGAAGCTAGTACTACATCAAATTAGCAATCATATTGTGTATGCTATATACCTATTACCTCGTTAATTAACAGCTACATAAAGTAGCTATATACGAACTCAAACTAATTGTTAAATACTTTAATAAAAGACATTCTAATTGAAATCTGACTTTTTGTTTAATTATTTCCTTATAATTTTCGTGACGTACTGTTAACGATCACGCTAATAATGTAAAGGAAGGGTGTTGTGGTATGGAAATAGGGAACGAAAAGTAGAATGGTCGGGCATTGTGAACGTTGTAGTGGTAGCTAGCAGCTGGCTGGTGTGGTGAGAGTCAGTAGTGAAAAGATGTGGCGGTTGGCGGCTGTGTGGCGACTTTCAACGGTGCTTTTAGTAGGCGCCACCTTAGACTTCAGATTCTTCACCCAGAAGCGAAGTTTCGATGTACCTTCGCAGGTAAAGCAAAATGAATATTTTTGTTAGTGCGAAAGTTATTGTTATTTAAATTTTTAAGCATACGTATTGTAACTATCAAATCAATATTTTGCGTCTTGTTTGAATTTTGTTTAGTCAATCTACACACTATTCTTAATTATAATATATGGCTATTTAGTGCAAGAACTGATATTGTTGATCTGCGTATTAGTTATAATATCCTTTATGTAACGAGTACAAGTGTGATAAAAGTTATTCAGATTTGTTGAAAATTTTTTTATAAAAAATATGAAAATGGCCTTAGACATTTTGGAGAAATTGGCGTCTAGGTAATTTTATATTATATAAAAATTTCTTCTAGCTTTCGAAACACTTTTTCGAAATAGTACGTATTGTTTAAGATGTACCTACATACAAACATTAAAATACGACGTCTATTGTATAACCTTTTTGAAGTAGGTTAAAATAAAGTGTATACGATGGGTGGTATTGTGTACAAAATGACTGTAAAAAGATAAATAGATCAGTATTTTACACTTTATGTTGTAACATACATGTATAATTTTTTCTTAGATAAAATTGATAATCTACCTATTTGATGACAATTATATATTATTGTGTAGATATCTACTCATCATCACATAACGTCTCTAATAGTCGTTATTTGTTTCTTTACATCAAATGGGGATATTTACTATGTGGGTGTTCCAAAATCGAAAATTATTTCTTATACAATTATGGTGACAAACAAGCATACGGCCTATCTGATGATAACCAAGGTTATTATAGCCTATGGACGTAACATCAGTTACCCTGCCTGCGTTATTGATATATACTGGTGGAATACTAGTGACGGATGAAGATGTAGTAGGTCATTGCCTCATCATGACGAATTCAATAGTTATTAGAACTAGTAGTAGTAGCGTAGAGGTCTACTTCAACATCATCACATCATATCAGTCATTAACTGCCCACTGGTGAACATAAGCCTCCCCCTGGGGAGATTTTGTCAGTACTTACCACGCTTGGCAGGGGGATTGACAATCGCAGTTAGGATTTAGACATGTTTGAAGAGGGATGCTGCTGCCCATTCCTCGCTTTCTCTTAATCACCTCTTACGACACACGGGAAAGGAAGGGGTGGCCTATTCTATGCCAGGACCACACGGCGGAAGTCTACTTGATAGGACATATTGCTAGCAAGGGGGCAGTTAAATCCTATTACTAACAATTCCTTTCCCCCAAGAAACAATTTTTTGTTTAATGGGTGATAATGGTATGGTAAACTCCTCTTCGTTATCGGTGTACAATGGCGGGGTACCAGTGATAGATGACTAATGAGGATGAAAGGAGGTCAGTTAGCCCATCCTGACGAATTCGACTAGAATTAGCCACGATGGTTTCCAGGGGGAACCACGTGGAGGTCGACCTCACAGGGTATATTGCTAGTAATGGGGCTATTTGACCCCTTTTCTAACAATCCCTTTCCCCTCCAAGAAACTACTAGGTACGTCCTTTTTGAATAATTATTACATAATATTGATACACTTATTATAGAATTATCAAAATCCCTTTAGATTAAGAGGCTAAGTGCAAAAAAGTGTTCACATCACTTTATAATTAGCGAGGATAAACGTTTTCTTATACACTGCTAACATTAGAGTTTGTTTGTTTATTTGTTATCTCTTGGCACTTTAACAGCTTAATCAATCGTAATTGAAATTTGGTACATGTACTATTTGGGAAAGAGATGAACATAGGCTACTTTTTATCCCAATGAATGTTATCTCGGTCACACTAACGAAGTCTCGGGTAAAAGCTAAAACAAAAATAAATACAGGCAAATTGAAAACTTTTGACTCATGTAGTCCCGGTATGGAACGGGCCACCCCTTTCTTTTTTGTGGATGTCATAAGCCTAAGGGAACTTAAAGGTCAAGGGATGGACAGCAGCGTCCCCCTTAAAACGTCACCAAAGTTTAATTGCGGTTGCCAATTCACCTGCCAAGCGTGGCAACTACTTACAAAATCTCCCTTACTGGGGAAATCTATGTTCAGCAGTCTGAACATAGAATTCCCCAGTAAGGGAGGTAACTGTACATTGGTGCAGTTAACGGCCGATGATGACAATAAGTACAAATTTAGCAAATTAGCATTTCGTTGATACCTGATGTTTTTTCAAAAGTATACACCAAAGGGGTTCTTAGCAACGGATGTGAAACCATATTACAAGCTGTGGTAAACGTTTGCCACCAGGCTGACTACGTACGCTTATTTGTTCTCTTAGCGCCTTTACAACCAACTAACCATAATGAAATTTGAGTAGGATTGCTATTAGTTGATATTTATTTCTGTTAATCGATATATTTTAGTTATGCGTACAAACTTGCAGGTACGGGACGTAGGAGTTATAAGTTAATATTTTGTTAAAGGAAAACGTTGAGCTTAGTTCCTCATACATATACGCATTCGCATAACTGCCCTTGCGTGTTAAACAATCTTTATAAAATTATAACCGTATTAACAAATGGGAACTAATAAACTTAGTCAATTATTTTGCATTTTCTAACACCTTTCGAATATATCTTAGCTAATTATGATGTACATTTTACGGGAAGTTGTACTTACTGTTAATTAGTAGTCACGCGATTTCATTAATCACATTCACATACTTCTGATTAAATCCGAAAGTATGGTATATCATCAATATCATCTTAGATGATTGTATGTCCATGTAACTACTACTTAGTAGTTAGTAAGAAGTCATTAGGTACCTGCGTGTTAGGAAGTACTAAAATATATAATTTACTCATTTACTATTTTATTTATTGCTTATATTGTATCATTGTTAAGGAACGGTATCCTCCCATTTTTTGTATTTTTTTTTTATTGTACTAACTGTCGACGATTTTTTCTCAAATACGTATATTTAACTTGCCATCTTTTATACACCTCGACGCCAAATTTTTGATGACTTTGAGCTTTTAACTCAAGTGAAATATTATTTGGTAGTAAATGTCTGCTATGCTATATAGGAGTAGGTTAATAGGAACTCAGTATCAAAGTTCGATACGAATGTTTGATAAAAAAGCATTTGTACGTGTGCTATGGGTTTTCAGTGTATTCTATTATCTCTGTGGTACTGTCCATATCCGTTTGTATAGGCAACTGTTTTCACTTTCTATCAGGCGCTTTCAGTCATCTTAATCACGATAGCATGTTTGTAAAAAAAAAATAGCGCAAAATCGTAGGCATCTTACATTTATTTGTAAATATCGTTACAATGTTGCCTTGTACTGTTATTTTTTCTGCCGTATTAGCCTAGTAGTTCAGAAACTAATAAATAGATTGCCAGAATTCTTAATATTGTAATAGCAAACATAAATATTGAATTATATAAATTTGATTTGTTTAAGATTTAACCACTGAACTACTTACTTTTTGCTATAATATTTGATTTTACATGTTTTCTCTTTGATAAAATTATCATATATGTATAGTCTTATTTCATTAGAATTTGATGAAATTCTAAAGAAACAAACAATTGGCCCGACCATGAAGTAATCTATTAATGTTCAATGATAATACTTAGCTACAAATAAAAAAATAATTTATCTATTGAATGTCTCGGTTAGTTACTAATTTCATTTAGAGATGATTTCAACAAAACTTAATTACTGTTCAGTTCTATTGAAGGAGACTATATACAGACAGTATTTATACTGTCGAGTAGTAACAAGTGACACAATTAAATTAATATTGCTGAAGACATTATGCATTTACGCGAAATGCTTTTGTAGTGTTTTGAAAAGTAGCAAAATTGCATTCAACTGTTTGCACGCTTCACGCGAGTTAATGAACTTCTCTATTGTTACTTTAATATCCAGTAAGTATTTTGTGTTTTGTTTGCTTCATATGTGTTTTGTTCTAGGTCGACTGCTTCGTAATTCCACCGATGACAAACCATAGAATTGGTAGGACAATTAACAATGGTAAATATGTATCTATTATATTTTATAGATGATTTTCTTAGATACTTTAATATATCGTTAGGTTAGCGTATATAGAAATAGATAAGAAGGTATACCTATCTGTTTTTATGTAAGCTTTATATATACTATACATATTTGTAATGGAAAATATAATTTAAACTGGGAAATAAAATTAGCCTATAGATAATTAGCAATCTACTTTTTAGCTTATTAAAATCAAATGAAAGATAAAATGGCCTATTTCCGAGAAAGATATTAAACTAATGACTATTTTCGATTTTTAAGAAAGTACTCTATTTTTACTTTTTACAGGGTGGCCTGAAAACAAACCTGGTAAAACTACTCTAATGCCGGTAGTCCGACATACGCCAAATTTATCATTTGAGAATCAAATAAGAACACGGCGATTTGATCAGTTAATACCAAGTGCTGAAGAAATTGTTAAAGAGCATGCTAAACTGGTACATGATATTAACAGTTTAAAACAAGTTGTGTTTGTTGCACCATTCGTCGATGAAAATAGAGACTACGAAGATTCCATATTCCATGAATTGATAGAAACATCTACGACACCCCGACCGAAGTCTAAAAGAGTAACAGAAAATGCAGTAGTTACAAAACCATACAAACAGAATTCAATTCCGCTAATTTTACTGGGTGGGGCGAGCCAGCAAGAAGTTATTAAAACACAGCCAATTAAGTTTCCTAAGCCTATAAGCTTGGTAGGTACTTCTGTATCTCCTTTAGCTAAGCATCCTTATCCTTTTGTAATGCAAGCCAAATCACAAAGGCCTTTCAAATTTTGTATGCAGCCTACATCTGGATTACAATCATCTATGATGTATATGACTACACAGCGGCCAAGTCTTTTAGAGCGAATAATTAGGTCCATTCTACCGAGGTAGCCTGAAACGTTAACGGAATGTCTGTGATATTATCTACTTGTTTTTCCTACACCTTTTACTGTAGTAATTAATTCTTAGGATTTGACTAAACGTAACGCAGATGATAACTTTACATAAGAGTTATGTAGTAATTTGTTCTATAAACGGCAAGAAATGTGCTTTCCTCTATGAATTAGGTATAATGTGTTGTCTATTTTAAATATGTAAATAGGTTTTTTATTGAGCACAGTTAATGTTTAATTATATTAAGTTGGATTACAATAGTTTTATTTTTATAAGCTAAATTAAATTTCCTGGCATTACAACAAATGTAACAAATAGATGTCTCAAAGTTGATACGTAATGAAAAATGCGTGCACCGTGCAGGCACTCGCGTGAGGTACTTCTAATTACCGATGCTGATTATGTATTGTCTTCGTTTTTACACTTTTGCGCATCGAAATGGAAAAGTTGAACGTCTTATGTGATATGACGAAACGACTGTTTACTGTTTTATTACTTACTGGCTTTTTACTGGGATTTCGCTCGTCCGGAAATCGATAAGACTGTTCATTGTCTTCTCGTGTGATCTATTCTAATGTAATATTCTGGAGGCAACAATAAAAAAATATTTATCTATTGTTAGGTATTACAGAATTTATTTCATTTTATTTGGATATAACTATTAAAAAAGAAACAAATTTTCAAAATTTTAAATTTATATTCCCTAGGTTTAGGCTGTGCACTAAAAACTTAGTTAATAGTCAGAACGAGACTCTATTCTATCGAGGAATACTATTTATAAATAAATCTATATATTTTATATTTATATATACATACATACATATATTAGGTCCTTACATATGAAATTGGCGTTTTGTACAGGAGGAATATAACGTGATTTTTTTGTAAAATATATTTAATTAATCAAAGTATGCATTGTTATCTATGCACATTTGCCATCTCATAGATAGTTTATTGATCCCTTTACTAAAGAAAACCATGGGGGCGAGAATTAATAAACTCTTTGAAGGCGGTTTGAACTGCCGCATCGGAGTTGAATTTTTTTCCTTGTAAGAAGTTGTCCAAATTCCGGAAATAATGATAGTCTGTTGGATCAAGGTCTGGGGAGTATGGTGAATGTCGCAAATATTCCAATTGTAGCTCATCTAAGTGGTTGTTTATTATGCAGTGTGTAGTTTTGTGTTGTCGTGAACCAGCAAAGGCCTAGAGCGATTGACCAATCTCGGTTGTTTAGCAGCTAGTTCTTCCTTAATGGTTTACAGTTTCTGACAATAGATATCTGCCGTAATCGTTTCGTTTTTAGAACTCAGCAGTCGACGCGTGTTTGCAAGTTCGATTCACTCATATCATGAGGTACCTATCGTTCAAGTTTTTTTTTAATTTCCCGATTTGCTTCAAGTGGATTAATACAGTTTTGTCACTTACACCCTGTACAAGCCTGTAGCTATCTCTGAAGCGTTTTGTGATGGATCCGCTTCCACAATAGCCTTTAATTCTTTGTTTTCCACTTTGGTCTCCGGCCGTCTACGGGGTTGGTTCTGAAGGCCGAAATTTCCAGAACGAAAACGTTGATACCAAAAACGTACCGTGATTTCTTTTGCAACACCAGCGCCGTACACATCATTAATCCTTCGAGGTATTTCTACAGCACTGGTGCCGCTGTAGAACTCGTACTCTTAAATATACCGATATTTCATGTTTTTTTTACAACACAGGGGGCAAACAAGCATGCGGCACACCTGATGGTAAGTGATTACCGCTGCCCATGATCACCCACAATACCAGCGGCATTGCAGGTGTACTGCAGACCTTTTAAAAAGAAATATACTCCTTTCTTGAAGATTATGTTGTCGTATCGGTTCAGAAATACTGCTGCTGGAAGTTGATTCCAAAGAATTGTTGTGCATGGAAGAAAGTGTCTTGAAAAACGCCATGTTTTCCATTGTGCGGTAATAAGCGACACCAAGAAAAAAATAATGAGGAAAAAACAAATGAATGACTGTTTTTAAAACTTAAATGTACCAGCTAAATGAATTTATAAATTCGAATTTGGAATTCTTAACGAAATAGGAGATATTTCAGATCAAAGTGACATGTATGACAAAACGCTAATTTCATATGTAAGGACTACAATATATATATATGTATATGTATATATATTTCATATTAATAATTCGAAAGACAATTATATGTTTATATTTTAATTTAATAATGTATTAACGAAACTTTTTACAATAAAATTATACGTTGAAGTAAACTTCATTACATTACATGCAAATAGGTATAAATGTAAATATGTACTTATTTTTCATCATAATGACAGCAGTTGTCAATAGAAAATAATCGTGGGTATATTTGCTTAGACGAAAATATTACTGGATATCATTGATGTGTCATTCACAATGCTCGTGTTAACTTGCGAGTCTTCTCTATAAAGACTCGTTACTTTGAGAAAGTTTGTTTGATGAGAAGATAATCTTTAAGCATATTAGTGCAATAATAAAGTTATTAATAATAAATTAATTCTCAAGCTACTTAGCTTTACTAAGCAAACAAGAATTTAGTTTAATTTTACTTTAATATTTACATCTAAATGGTATCTAAAAAGATATATTACATATCACTTAGATGTAAGTATTAAAATTAATATAATATAGCATATCTGTTATTACTTATTAAAATAAGTAAATTTATTCTATACCTAATTAACATAAATACCTTTTTAATAATATTTTTTCGAGTATTTAATAATTAATGAACTTTTATAAGAAGGTCTATTAAAAGGGTTAACAACTGAAAAATACATAATTTTCTTTAAAAAAATATGCAAAAATTAATATAAATATTAATTATATTGTATCTTAAATATATTTTTTTATAACTGTAGTTTTAGTTATATAAATGAAATAATGGCTGAAATATTAATGTTACTAGACGTATATCTGGACATGAATTACAACTTTTAGTTGGGTTGATTAATAATGGAGGAGTCGATATAATTCGACTTCAACATTTTTAATTACTATTTGAAAGTTGTTTGATTTATTCAACAATTATTTCATTTTTCACATTACACTACTAGTATTCGATAAATTTTTATTTACCAGTGTAAACAAGTCGGTAGATTTACTACAAAAAATACGTTCAGTTCAATGAGAGTTGCAATAATCAAGAAGCCAACATATGCTATGGCACAAGTAGTGCCAATTTTCCAATCCAATTGAAATTTATTTAAAGCCAGACATCCATATAGGGCAAATAATGTAGATAAGAGTGAGATAGCATTATACGATATACCACTTGAGTTCAGGGAAACCTGAAAAGGTAAGGCTAATTATATGTATATGTAAATATATAAGTCAATCGAAGAATATTGTAATTATACTCTGCTCGTTATAGCATGATGCGGGTAAAAGGTCGCTATGTTTATAAAAAAAAATACTAAAATATAACTCAGGGATTCAATAATGAGTAAACTGTAAAAATAATAATCAATACGATATAATAGTTATATGGAAATGTTACTTCTAACCCGCCTAATGCTACATCGTGTATAAAATAATATAGGTATACAATGAAATTACATACCCAGTAGTTGCCAGGCGTAATAGGATAGAATAATGACTTCACAAGCCATGGTAGTCCCAAACAGAGCAAGATATCGAAAGTGTTTGATCCAATACAATTGCTAATAGCCATTGTACCATTTCCTGAAAATATACATTTCAGTACTTTTAGAGGTTTTTAATTCGGTTGTAACTTTTTATGTTTGTTACCTAAAAACTGTGTCAGTTCTAAACTGATTTGGAAAATTATATTTTTATCAGAAAGGTTATACTTACAGATTGGTCCCATAAACATTTTACCCAAGTCGGTTCAGTAGTTTAATTTTTAGATCAAAATAACTGGTTTTGTCACAACTGAAGTCGGATTTTTTTGTGTGACTAAATTTTTAATTATATTTAAATCTCTCACTAATAACACTTTATCTGTATAAATTTTGATTCTATAGTATTCCACGTAAAAGCATTAAGTACGGTATTAAAAACAATTTATGTGTAAAATTTACATGTGATTTATCTTTTAACTGTAAGCACGACGAGAAAGATATTACGTATATGATCATTTAATAATCAAACTTCTTAACAAACTTTTACACTTAGGTATACCTAGGTAATATTTGTAATATGGGTGAAATACTACTGTAACACATTTACGCTATAACTTTATCATGTTTTTAAGTAAAGTTTACCTTGAACAGTAACTATTACACTAGAAACAGCTTCTGGCAGACTTGTTCCCGCCGCAAGTATAGTCAATCCAGTTATACTGTCTGGTAGATTCAATGTGTCTCCTATTGTAAATACATTTAACATTAATTTACAATAAAATTACATCAACATTTAATTTCATTTAAGGTGTTATTGTTGTGAACGGATAACTTGTAATATACTTATTACAAATTATCCGTTCCGTGTGATTTACCAGACTAGGTGGCAAACATACAAACAATAAACAAAAAAAAAACAAACAATATGCTGCTGTCCAATAGTAGTACAAATAAAAATTTGAATAATTTATTGTTTCGATTTGTTACACATTTTATTTGTAAAGCATTTCTGTGATAATTTCAACAAAGCTTCGTCACCTTTTCATTATGTTCTATTGAAGCAAACTACACTTATTTCTACTCATACTTTGAAATAGCGACACGATTTTTTGCTGTGAAAACTGATGAGTTAATAGATATAATCTATAAGACACGAGAGTATACAATGACACGTCATGATTGGCAATTGGCACCTCATTGTATAATAATTTCAAGTCATGTTGTTAATAGATTTTAGAGAGCTTTAAAAGACAAAAGCTGATGAAGGAATTCAGACGATACACTATGAATTCCCATTTATAGCTATTTGGGGATTCTAAAATCATGATATAACGAAAGTGAAATTAAAAAAATAAATCGGAATTACCAAAAATCGTTATAATCCAAGCAATGAGATAAGACACTCCACCGATCCAGGAGATGCACATAATAAATGTAAGAGGATACAGACGAGGGTGGCGCCGACAATCCGGAATTGTGATCCATAGCAATAGGCTTATAGGCCACGTCAGTACCCAGAAACACTTTTTCAAGGAAGACTTTTTCTCGTCCGGCCAAGACCAAATTGAGCTCTTGCTACTAATATCTGAAATGGCAGTATCGCTTGTTTAAATGTATACAGTAAGACAATTGTGACTACAATCTTATGTACCTAAGACATTATTGATTATGATAGTTTATTCCAACATATTTGAGGTCATAGCGGAGTGTCTAAACACTCTCTAAAGAAAGATCATCCTACAATGTATTCGCTTGTACGGAGTCGCCATTTGAAAACTTTTCTTTCTCTGCCTTACAGTCTGAACTTTCTGGCCATATTGGCCACTTTTGACAGTTTGAGTTATATTATCATTCTAAGAATATGTTTATATGTGTTGATGTTTTGCCTCTGTATCTAAGTCATTTTACTTCTATGACTATATCTTTAAACTGAAACATAGTTACTTGGTAGTAGGATGGCGGGTAGGTATATTGTGTTAGCACAAGGGTATTTAAAATAAACTTAAGACTTTTCAGCTATGCAGGTACGTTGTTTGGCAACTTTATTTGTATTAGTTAATTCAATAAGTTAATTTTTTAAATAGATTATTTTTGTTTATTATACCTGATCCTGTAGAGTTATGTCTTTTTGTCATCTCCATTCCATGATCCACATTACTATGTATTGTGTAGTACATGCGACGAGATGGATCCAGAGAGTGTTGTTTCTCTGTAGAATGTGATCAAAAATAATAAATAATGTCTAATTTGCTAACAACACAGGAAGACTGGTAAACTGCTGTATTTGATTTGTATGCAATCAAAAGATATTTAATATAGATATATAATGAAACCATAAATTAGGTAGGAACCTAATTTTATTAATTCCTATTATTATAAATGTTAAAATTTAATGTTTAGGTTATGAAAAATAGGTATGGTTCATCTGTGTACCATTTATTCCAATCAGAATTGTACTTAAACATATAAGTATTTGATAAACATTTTTATTTAAAATAGACATATGATTTCAGAAAGTGGATATAGAAAAGGTTTACCTTTTATTATCAGAAGTGTTGTTTCTGTATACAACTTTGGTTTTTTAAAAAGGCAGCAGCCGCTTTTTGCTATGGAACCCAGCCAGCCATTGAAAACCATCGCTAACATACAAATACATAATTAGTTACACAAAATAAAGAGAATTATAGAACTAATAATAAATATAACAACATTGTACAATAAATCAATGTAATCATTGGCTTACTTAGAATGTATACAGTATACATAAGTACGAGTAGAAGTGCTTCATGCCAATAAATCTTGTCATCAAGAAGAGTCAGTATTAGGGTGATAACAGCAACCGCGTACATGAGGCAGTCTCGAGATATGGACCACCAGTCTAGGTCTATTACCTATACAAAATAAAAAATCTACTAAATATAACAACAACTATATATATATATATATATATATATATATATATATATATATATATATATATATATATATATATATATATATATATATATATATATATATATATATATATATATATATATATATATAATACCTAATAGGACGTTGCGAGATATTTGTAGACTATAGTGGTTAGTGGTTTGTATACCGTTTTGAGATGGGGTGAACTTGAATGTGCCTCTATCTTAAAAGTCTATATTGTATAGACTTCGAAATATGTAGTACTTAAGTTAGTATTATGCATTAGAGAAGTAGAGGTTCTTCGTTCGATTATTGTTAGATTGCGATTATTATTAGAAGAACGTCTTAAAATTAAAGGCGCTGAGGTTGTAAATTTTAAGATTTATATTTATTAATTCTGTATCTTGGTAATATGAAGCTTAGATTTAACTGCTACGGTTACGAATCTTTGTAATGATTTTTTTCTGAAGAAGAAGAATATATAACTACTGACTATAAATCGCATTAATGGAAGATGCTAAGAAGTAACTCACCCTGCCAGCAATGAGAGCGGAACACGCAGGAACAGCTAGTACATTGAATACAGCTGATCCAACTATAGCCCCAACTCCCAGGTCGCCTTTGGTTACAAACGTCCCAACGCAATTGATGAATAATTCAGGACATGAACTGGCTGCTGCCATGAACGTAGCTCCAGCGATATCCGCCTCCATGTTTAAACCTTTCAAATAATATAACAACAGTGTTAAGCATACAAATCCCTATGAAAAAATCGGTGCACATTGAAATTTCATTTCTCAAAATTCTATTATTAAAATCCCAACAATTAATTAAGATAATGTAAATTTTATCTTTAAAAACAACTGCTTGATCTGATCGATAGTTTATCACGACATATTTGGAGATCTCTGTCACATGAAGTTAGTAAATAGACTAAGCTATATGTCAGGAACATTGTCCTGGAGTTTTTGTATCATCGTCATCATTAATAGCCAATTTTATTTCCGTCTATTCAATAAAGTTTTTACTCTAAGTAATCTGTAATGGATTAATTAGGTTAAGTATAAATTTAGGGCATTCATAATATTACTATATATCTAAAGTGGCTTATAAAAATTATTAATGAGATACCTATTATTTATAAGCGAACGAAACCTGGGCAAGTTTAAACTTCATTTGCTAGATAATCACACCATTTGTATGGGCCTTAAGCTCAGATATCCTGTAATGTAAGAAAATATGTCACGAACATATTAATTACTTGGAACAGGTTCCTGGATCATCATGAGAAAATTTAGAAAGGTAGCTCGCATACGTGTAGCATCGTGCAAACATCGCACTTCGTCACGGTGATTGTTGAATCGTTAAATTGGTTTCTGGGTACATTCAACAGAGACATAAAAACTTGGATGATCCTACACAACGATACATGTGATATTAATATGAGTATCAACTTAGGTTATGAAAATCTTAGTGTTACATATCTATTAAAGTGCAAGTAAAGTGCATAGAGTGACTCACGTTCACATATCATGTCGATGACCGGCACGAAGTATTGTTCGCAAACGGCGCCCAATAACAAAAAACAGTATACTGCCAGCAAACAATGCACTAATATAAAACCCTGAAAAAAGAAGACACTGATTGAAAGTTATTTTGTGTAGGTAAGTAATCAGGCGAGCATGCAATAATAACGGCTGTACGAATTCCAATCTAACATTATAAAGCACTTTTGTGGAATTGTTGGGTTTCTGAAATAAGTACGGGTAGTATTAGTATTATGTAGAAATTCAGCAAGTAGAATAATATGATGTTTTATTTACATGTATTCTATAAAGATTGTGAATTTTTAAAACTTTTTATAAATAAAATAAACAAAAGTAGAAATCAGTTACGCTATAAATAGATAAACTTTACATAAAATATTAGCATTACTCGTAATTATTGTGAATTGTCTGCGAAAATAGTTTCTAGAAGATATTCTGTTGTAGATGACGTAGTCAATATATAAAATTGAGTTCATCATATCATAATCATATCAGCTGATATTTGCTCACTGCTGAACATAGCTTCCTTGTGACAGATTATATTGGAAGGATTTCATTAGTAGTTGCTACACTTGGCAGTTGAATTAGTAACCGCAGTATGGTTTTTAGTGATGTTTTAAGAAGGATGCTGCCGCCCAAAGCTCGACCATTAAGTTTCTTTAATTGTTTTTTACGCCACCCACGAGAATACAAGGGGAAGCCCATTCTATGACGGGACCATACGGCATAGGGATTAGCTCTCTCGAAGGAAGACAGTCCTTGTATTAAGCTGATCTTAATTAGCACTCAATGAACAAAATAAGATCTCGATATTTAAATTAAATGCCTAGCAAATTAATAGAATTGGGTTATAGAAGACGAAAATTGACAGTTTAAGTTTATGCTGAAAGCAAAGCACAATAAAGGACTATACCATTAACTGTTAGTCTAAACGAATAAATAATAAGAATAAACATATTATTTACATATAAATAATAGTAAAACATAATTTGGTATATTAAGTTAGAAGAATATGTTAATGTTCTTCTGTTGGAGCAAATGTAAAACGTTATATTTCGATTTATAGAATGGATTATAGTAGTAAAATTGAGTGAGGTATAAAAATTAATATCTATTAAAGAATGGTAATGCATGTAGGGTACCATAGACGTCATAGTATTCTGAAATACATCATTATAGTATTGGTATTGTATTGCTAGTACGCATTGCACAACCTACAGAGAAACAATTACAAATGTGTTTGCCATTCCAAGTTACATACGTAAAAAATTACTGCAAGGCTAAGATTATACTTTTTCTGAACTTGTAACTGCACAGAAAAAGAGATATTAAAATATAATTTGCTGAAAGTTGCCGTTGTGGTGAACATTTAACATTCGCCATGCACACATTTTGCAGCGCATACCCAATTAATGTTTTTTTTTTAATAGATGGTTATGAAATGGTAACTTCGGTTGCGCTATCGGTATACACTTGTAGGTATCAGTAAAAAATAATAAGTGAGGATGAAGAGGTTAGTTGGCCTACCGTGACGAATTTACTAGGAATTAACTACGATGACTTTCAGTGGGAACCGCGTGGAGATCTACTTAATTGCGTATATATGTAGTTAGCAATAGGACCGCTAATGCCTTTAATTAGGAGGGATGGATTTTTTACAGCCTATTGCTAGCAATATACCCTATCAGATTGAGTTCCACGGGGTATTTTATGGAAATCATTGTGGTTAATTTTAGTGAAATTCGTCACAATTGGTTAACTGAACCGTCAAAATTAGACTAAAAGTTAACCAAATTTCCGAGAGCCACCAGAGAACATAATATTCACGTGAAGATATTATTTTTATAAATGAGTTTGCTTTCGTGTTGGTTCTGTATTCAATTTAGCACAATTGAAGTTAATTTTTCTTGTAGGTCAACATTTAATATCTAATAATTGTAATGTGAAGTAATTAAGTAAATAGTAAGTAATAATACTTACATGTTGCCTCTGTGAGCGTGTCAATCCATCAGGTGGAAATTCCAAAATAGCAGCCGGTGTACAATTTCTGTCGCTGTCAACTATGCCCAAAAGTTTACGAGAAGAAGAAATCGAAAAATCTGAAAGAATACATATATATCTATATCTAAATATCCGATCATACTGTTTGGAATTTATTCAATACAAATGAACTTATTTTAGGAAATTATATCAACAATACAGTGTGCTAATATTGCATGTGTTATTATTTTTCATGTGTAAAAGCTGACGCCAGCAACTTGTATATTTATGTAAATTGTGTTATCAAAATAAATGTTTTTGACGATATACCAATATACACAAATTTAGACGATATATTTCTTACATTTAGTAAGTGTACACTTTCTAATAATATATATAATATTTTACCTGATTTTAAATAAATTGCTTCGTCATATTTTTTTATGTTGTTAATAGACCACATAAACACAAAATATGCAAACGGAATAGCAAAAAACAATGTCACCCTTAACATTAACGCAACTTTAGTTTTGCACTTAAGATGTCTAGTCCTTATTAACATATTGGCCATTTATTTTAAAGAAAATACTACAGAACTATGACTAGAACTTGTTGAAGTACCGGGCTATTTTAACTTTGGTATAAATATTTTCGTCAAATGAAAAATTCGAATATTTCGCTGTATATAAAGCTCGTAAGCATTAGCACGGATATCCCGAAAATTGGAACATCGATGAACATAGACGTGTTAGTACTATGAATAGGCGATATATTACTGTCTGTTACAATTCCTTCAGCCTGTCGAGGCAAATAATTTATCAATAAATATTATTACCTACCGTTGTCCTATCAGTGTTATCGGTATTAATGTAAATAAAGTAGGCATTTCGGTCTTTCGGTATCGCAACAGGTACGTTGATCTATTGGTGTTTGTATAAATTTGTAAATATGAATATGGGTTTGAATAAATACTTAGATTATTTATGTAGATATAATATGAACGTTGCTAAATATTTATACATAAATAAATAATTGCAATGCTTGGCATATATTCTAGTGCGATAAATATAATAATATTGTAACATTTGTATGTCGTATTGTAAAATTACAATTGTAATTTTTGTTAATTTTTTTTAATATATTATTATTCTACATATAGATTTTATAAAGGTTATTATCGTATATAAAGGTTAAATTGCTTGTGTAAAGAAGGAATTTTAATTCAGACTCCTTGGGCCTACATTTTTTAATTCATGATAAAGATAACCTGATCATGTTATAATCATTCAAAGATTGATAAACTTTCACATCCTAATAATGTTATAAATGTTTGGAATCATATTTGAATATTTAGATGTAAACGAAATGTTTGATACGCAATCATGCTTAAATGGCTGCATATACTCGTATTTGAATGAAATTTGATGCACTAGTAGAATATAACTTAAGATATAGAACATTTTATGTACTTATGCACTTGAGAAAAATTGCGAGAAATAGACAGTTTACAATATTGTAGTGTGATATTATGGAATAGTTTACTAGACAGACGAAATAATAGATGTTGTTCCATACATCATCTGTATGTAGTACAAGGTGACTCAAAAGAAAGTTCACTTTTAAAAATCGTTAAAAAATTAAACAAGGAGTTTATTAAAAAAATGTTTATTATATATTAAAAAACACTTTTTGGGAATTTATTTCTTTAAAATAATATCGTCCAAGTGTAACCCATTACATTCACGGCATTCATTTAATCGAGCTCTAAAATTTTCTATGACGGCTCAGCATGTATTGTCCGTGATGGCTGCCATTTCGTGACGGATATTTCCTTTTAATTGTGCCAAGGAAGTCGGTTTGTTAGCATAAACTTTAGATTTGACGTAACCTCATAGGAAAAAGTCTATAGGGGTTAAATTGGGACTTTGTGGAGGCCAATTCATGTCACTTCTCCTGGATATCAATTTGCCAGGAAAAATTTCACAAACTCGTGTTAAAGACCTGTTGAACATGTGTGAAGTTTTTTCGTCCTGCTGGAAACATGTTCTTTAATTATAACCAGGAAAGTTTTGCAGTTCAGGCACGAAGAAGTTGTCTAACATCTCCACATAACGGTCCGAGTTGGGGGAAAGGGATTGTTAGTGATGGAGACAGACTGCTATTGCTAGCAATATACCCAACCAGGTCGACCTCCTCGCGGTTCCCCCTGGAAACTATCATGGTTAATTCTTGATGAATTCATCATGATAGGCTAACTGGCCTGTTTTCATTCTCATCTATCACCCTTCACTGGTGCTCCGCCAGCGTATCCCGTTAGCACAGGCGGTGTTACCATTCCATTTTCACCCATAAAAAAAAAAACGGTCCGAGTTCACTGTAACTGTGCATCCCCTTTCATCTTCAAAAAGTAAGAGCCAATAATCCCTCGCGCCTACAATGCAGCCCATACGGTCACTTTAGGCGAATGTAGGGGTTTCAGATGTTTGTGTTTTGGATTTGTTACACTTCAGTATCGGCAATTTTGTTTGTTTACATGTCCATTGAAATGGAAATTAGTTTCATGAATTACAGTTTTTGTAAAATTCGCGTACGCACAACGCACGGTCCGCTCCCGAGAAATGCTCCATAGCGTCTAAATTCCCAGAAGCAAGGCTACCGAATGACATACCCCCCGCGCCCCTTTACAGTTGCATTCACACAATAACCAAAACAAATGTCATCTTTCTTTTGAGACACTCTGTACATTACCATCACTCAATGCATTATTAAAATAATATTTAATATAACAATTGGTTAATAACTTAAATAAATTAGTCATACTTTAATCAGTTATCTAAGTATGTAACTAATCTAGTTTTTATAGTTTTGTTTTTAAAAAAATATAGTACACTTAAATAGTGAGATATGAATGATAAAGATAGTAAATACCTATCAAGGTTCTTGGAATACTGTTATTATTTCGGACTATTAGTTATTTGTTGATGACTACGTATCTACTCGTATTTTAAATCATTTCATTCAAACATTCTTTGTCGATTTTTTTTGTAACTAATTCGGTTCATTAGAGAAATTCTATACATAGCTATTTAGCTCACTAAGCGTTTTTATTTCATTTATGTTTCAATATTTTTTATTTATTTATTTATTCATTAGTAGTAGTATTTATTCAGTAATAGTTAAGTTCATCATGTAATGCTAAAAGCATTATTTCCCAATCAACCATAGGGAAGTGTCAGAATACTCAAATATTCGAACCGTATACGATAAAGGTAAATCTCACTGATTATGGACCTTTGTATTAAACTTCTATGATAAAGATGACGAGAAAATTCGACTAAGTTTTCCAAAAGTTAGCCAGACTAGGTGTACCTATTATAGAGCAGTAGGCACTGCTCGTTATATCAGTTTTAATCTATAATTTTAGTAATGCAATGTTGTTATCACTTATACTAAGTATAATAAGTTTAACGAATAAAAATATTCCATTAAGAACATTAATCTACAGATTACGTAGTCTGTCAAGTGGGTAAGGAACTTTCCACTATTTGCGACAGGGACATAGGTACATCGAGTATTTACAAATATGTACTGTCAATAATAATGATAATAATTATGACGACGTTTTCAGTTAGTAACATTTAAACTATATAAGGATAATTGCTAATAATAATATAAATGTGAAAGTATGTACAAATATTTATATATTAGTAGCAGTAGGACGATTGGGCTGATTTGAAACAAAGCTACACAAAATATATCCTAGATTAACATAATAGTTATTATCTTAATTTTGGCGGCATAACTACTAAGGAAAACTTTAAGATTAAAATAATTAATAAATTTAATTAAACAGGTTTCGTTTTATAACCTACTTTTCTTATTATTTGAATTATTGGAAGAAGAAGCTTTTAACATCATGCTCGCATTGATATTTAATATTTTGTACAGCTGTACTCTCAACTAATTTCTCTACTTATTTTTCAGTAGACATAAGAAATTTAAATACATAATACAAGTATAGTAATTAGGGTTTCAGCTCGAGAATTCTCAAGGCGTGAATTTTCGAGAAATTTGTCGTTAGTCGTAACGGAAAAAAACTCAAGAACTCGAGAACTCGAATAATCAATTTTGTATGTAATAAAACAGAAAATAAAACTTGTATAAAAGTAGAGAACATAAAGAGTCTAGAGTATCTATAGAGACTTTTATTTCTGAAAGCCTATTTATAAAGAAAAAGGTAGAATTAAAATTTTTTTTTCTAATTTGTGAGATACTGGTTTAGTTTTAGTTGGCATATTATGCTTAAATTAAACAATAGTAAATATTAATTTTGATTTGATTATTCAAAGACTAAATATAAAAGTAATTTTAAGTTAAAATTTGTAGCAAAATGATTATTTTGTTAAACAAGTTTTTTTTTATACAATTTAGAATGACAAACAAGCTGACGGTCCACCTGATGGAAAGTGGTGACCGTCGCCTATAGACATGAGCAGTACTATGGATATAACAGAGTATAGGTGTATTTTTAGGTGGTAGAGCCACGCTGTAATACCATATGGTATTGCAGCATGAATGGGCCGGCTCGACCGGGGAAGTACCACACCCTCACAGAATACCGACGCTAAGTGGCCGCACTTTTAGTGCGACCACATTCCGTATGGTGAGTGAGGGAGTCCGGAGGCCCATCCTATACCCATCCCCTTCCTTATCCTAAAATCCTCCCCCAACTCCGTCCCCCCATCTTTCAATACCATGGCAGTGGAATTTAAAAAAAATAACGTACCCCAGGGAGGTACCAGCAGCCATGTTGCTGGAGAATCCTCCCTCGAGCAACCACGCTCGGGCTGCCCTGCGTATTCTGGGGGGGGCAAAATTCCGCTCTATGGGACCAAGGGCAAACAGAGCAAGACTTCTGCGGCATCCCCTTTGCTCAATGTGAGCTTCTGTAATATTAGGGGAATTCATTCAAACCTGAACGCTGTCCACCACCACCTAGAAACGGCGCGGCCGGCATTGCTCTTCCTCACGGAGACACAGATATCCCCTCCTAACGAAACATCATACCTGACCTACCCGGGGTATAAGCTTGAACATTGTTTTGTTTCGCGTGCCGGTGTATGTGCGTATGTCAGAGAGGATATCTGCTGTCGACGCCTTGGGACTCTTGAAGGTACGGACCTGTCCATTCTATGGCTGCGCGTAGATTGCAATGACCATCCCCGCATCTATGCGTGCCTATACAGGTCCCACAGCGGTAACACTGGAACCGACCAACTCATTGAGCACGTCCAAATGGCTATAGATTCCCTGCTTGAGCAGATTCCTTCCGCTGAAGTCGTGATTGTTGGCGACTTTAATGCCCACCATGCCGAATGGCTTGGTTCGCGTACAACCGACTATGCGGGAAGATCTGTTCATGACTTTGCTTTGGCTTATGGTCTGACACAGCTTGTTTCCTCGCCTACGCGAATCCCTGATGTGTTGGACCATTCACCTTCACTGCTGGACCTTCTGCTGACCACCCACCCAGACAACTATGTGATCTCCGTCGAAGCCCCGCTTGGATCGTCGGATCACTGTTTGGTGCGGAGCGAAGTGCCTCTTACGAGTCCGACTCCACCTCGTTCTACGGGTAGACGTCGCATTTGGCACTACAGGTCGGCAGATTGGGATGAGATGCGGATTTTTTTCGCATCTTACCCATGGAGGCAGGTTTGCTTCACACTGGATGATCCCGACGCCATTGCCGATTCCATTGCTGATGTGGTGCTTCAGGGAATGGAATTATTT